GAAGAGGAAGACTTCTAAGGTTTGAAGAAACAGGAGTGGGAAACATGAAAAGGAGCTGATGGGGAAAGACTGGAACAAGAATAAAGATGAGGGATAGAAGGGAGATAGGGTTGAAAGTGCTGTCTTCCTTCCATGACACAGAAGTTTTGGGAAGAAAGGCATGGTCTGGATAAAGGAGAATATATGAGTGCTTGAAACAAACATGGGAAGCATATATATCCAGCCACTGACAGACCACAAGCAAAGAGAACCAAGAAATAGGTTTCAAGCAAAAGGTGGTATAAGGAACAAGAGGCTAAAGGTTCAAAAGAAAGGGGGTAAGGGTATGGAGAACGACATTCAGGTCCCAATGAGGAAAGATAGCAGGACAAGGGAGGCAAAAAGAATGAAAAGACACACCAAAAACGTGGAAATTGGAAAGTATTTGACAGTGCAACCCTGTAGCCAGCAATAGTTGACAGAGTTAAGCCTTGGTCAAACAGCCAAGTGAAAAATTCAGACAGGTGAGGAACAGAAGTAGCCGCGATGTAGAAGCCAAGGATGGAAAATGTACCACTTCCACTGCTATAGAAGGAGGGAGGAAAAACAAATGGAATGAGAAAGCAGAAAGGTTACACATGAAGAGAGCATCTCACAAGAGACCAGACAAAACCCACGCGTGAAGAAGGAGTGTAGATACTGTTGGATGGGAGAGTAAGGAATATGGTTGAAGTAGGAGAGATCAGGATAGAGAAAGGGTAGAACTGTAGAAGGTTCAAGAGAGAAAACCATGGCTGAGCTAGCAAATATGGAGCAATCAGGAAGACTCAACACAGGGTGGTCTGAATAAGGAAAAGTACATGTGAGAAAGGAAGAATAGGAGAGTAGGCATAAAGAAAAAGGTTTGACCAGTCCTGGCTGAATGTATCCATAACCAAAGCAGCCAGATGTAAAACCAGTGGTTAGAACAGGGGAAATTTAGTATTGAGGTGAATGGCAAAAGCATCCAAAAGAGAAGTGTCCACATGATAGTATAGCCACTTGAATACCAAGAGATTGACAGACCACTTTGTTCGTAGAATTGTGTTGGGTCATGAGAGACAATTGGCAACAAAATTCAGGGTGAACAGGATATGGAAAGCAATAAGATGAAAGTGTAGAAAGTGAATCCAGAAAAGGAGGTTTTGTGTGTGAAAAAGAGAGAAAGAGACAGGGTGCCCACTTGATGACTGATACAAGAAACAAAAGTAGAGTTGTCAGTATGGACCATTATGAGAAGCCTATTGACAATGAAAATAAAATGATCCAAAGCTCGATGTACCACCACCAATTCCAAGAGACTGAAATAAAGGGTGAATTCAACCTCAGACCACTGACCTGAAATCTCTAGATATGACTTCTCCAATTTTACTAGCCAATCCTGATATGCTGACTCCTGAAAGAGAAGGGTATGGTCATATAAAACTTGTTGGGACAGAGCCAAAAGCTATAAATGTAATGAGCAAAAGGTCGAACCACAGAAAACACATGGAGCCGAGGCAAGGCCAACTGGGAGAGCGTGGAATTGAGACACTTGACGAACAAACTAAAGATAATGCCTGGATGCAAGGGGAAACAGGATTGTGAAGGTAAGCATCCAAGATGTTGATCTTGGTCATCCATAGACCTGGAGTAAAAGACCACCTGTGGGAAAGAAAGGACTCCATGGTAAAACAATGTGGGTTTATGAAGCAATTCAGGCTCAAAAGATCAATCACCAGATACCAATCCCCTATTTTCTTGGGGAAAACAGACATGAATAAAAACCCAGAGAAGAAAGACAAATCTGTTCTATAGTGTCTTTTTACAAGATTCAAAACTGCTTCCAACAGATGCTGGCAATAAACTGGATCATGAGAAGGAAGGAAAGAAATGGGAATGGAAGTCAAAAATTGAAGATTGAAGATCCAGTCCCCTTTACAACACCTGAAACACCCAAAAATCTGGTGCAAGTGAATACCACAAGTGAGCAAACTGGGCCCACTGTGCTTTTACAGGACCTGAACCTAAGGGATAGTCATCGTCAATTTTGGCAGCGCTGAAGACAATGGTGGAGTAGCATGAATGTACTGAGGCAGAAACATAAGAAGGAGGGGAAGCAGGATACAGTTACAGGAGAAGATTGCAAAAGAGAAGAAACCAAAGAAGAAATGGTGGATCGTGGGCACACAGCCTCTACACAAGTCCAAGGAATTAGGGAATCCCCAAAAACAGACTGGTGAAGGAATGGATCCAGTCTAAGGTCACACAGACAAGAAGCAGGCAGACATAGCTCAGACATCAGGGCATCCCAGCCCAAGAAGTCGTGATTACAAAGCAACACCATGTATGGTGAAACAAAGCTGAAGAAGATAAATGCACTAATCTAGAAGAGATAAGAGAACAAGTATTTGCCAACAATCCCCCAGGGAATGGTGGATAACTTTATAAAGCAGGTGGATAGACAAAAGATAACATAGTAGAGTAGTAAGGGTGAGACAAAGATGAAAGAATAGGGCAGGGGAAAGGTGAAAAGAAGAAACAGGATCAGGTCCCCATGCCCGAATAAGAGATTCCAAATTATGAAAGTCAAGAAAAGGGATCTCAAGCCCGACGGTAGGATAAGGCATGTGTGTCTGCCAAACAAGAAGGACATGGTGTACTGGCTCCAGCATGAAAGTGAGAAGGAACCTGATCTGAAAGAACCTGAATACCTGGACAAAAAATAATCAGAAGCACGTCCAGAATGGAACAAGGACGGGGAAGAATCATAAGACTCAAGAGAAAGTGATAGAAGGTAAACCTGAGAGACCATATCCAAGAAGGATCAGGTAGATCAATGGCAGTTGATTGAGAAGCAACAGCAAAAACAACTGGAGAAAACAGGCTGTCAAAATCGTTATCCTCTTGAACATGATCCCCAGGGAAAGGAATATCTGTCCCTGGGTCAGAAGACAGACCAGACCACATGTATGACTCCAATTCCCTATGCACTATGGCCAACACCTCTTAGACAGAAAGTGATGAACCTGAAGCCACACTAGTAATTTGTCTAGCAGGACTAAGAACTGATGGATCCTCACCACTTGTGAGTTCATAATATGGAAAGGAATGGGAAAAAATAATCAAAAGCCTTCTACAACTTAAGTAAAGAAAACACAAAAAATAGTTGTTAAAAAGCAAAGTATTAATCACTGGCACAAGCAAAAAATTTACGTGTGTGCACATGAAAGTGCCAAATTGAGAAGTGATGATTGTACAATAAGTATAGTATGAGTCAGCTGAACTAGATGGATGATCACACTCCTATTTATAGAGTTGTCACATGATCATTTGCATGCTACAGTGCAGCAATATCATAAGTGTCCAAAGATGTTATTTGAACACATGCTTATAAAATCCTATTCCTCTTTTCAGCACACTTATTCATTAACCAATAAAAATTCAGGTTCCAATACTACCTATCACACTTGTTTAGCTTTGGTTTTAGTTTTGCAAACCTTCTAAGTCTAGTCTTCTTTATAAAGCATAACAATATTTCCCCAACATTTGTAAAATATTTTACCTTTCTAAATATTACGAATAAACCTGTTTTTAAGTATTAATGTTTTCAATTGAGACCCAAAACTCAAGCACTTTGAACAGTTGAGTATTCTTCTTCATAAAAGTTCGAGTTTTGGGCCTTGTTTGAAAACATTACAACTTTTGTAGGTGATCCTGTGTGCTAAGTTCATAACCTGTTTTCAGGTTGTCAAGTTTATAATGTTGTACAAGTTGCTTTTAGACAATTAGAATAACACACATTCAATAGGCATAACTCTGTATTGGCCTACAAAATACAGTGATATTTCAGCTACCATACAATACATGTGTGTGTGTGTGTGTACATATATATATATATATATTACTATTTACTCATAAGTGTTTAAATAATACTTTTCTTAAAACACTGAACAATAACTAAAAAATATGCTGAAAAACAAGATTTCGAGTACTTACAATGTTACAAAATGTTGAGCTCATGCATTGCACGTGCTAAGTCTTGCTGTAAGCCTCATTTATTCCTCCGAGTAGAGGGTGAAATATATTAATTTTTGTGAGCTTCAAATATTAATTTTAGAAAACCAAAATATTATGTTACTGTATTAGTACACACAAAAAACACATATAATTTATCTGGGTCTCTAAATAAACTATACGTAGGTCACAAAAAATCTCATTCCTATTCAGAACGACGATTTAGTTATTACAGGTCAACAGCTTTGGCAAAATTATTACTTTCTCCTTCAAGCTATTTACAAATGACTGTCAGATTTACATAGAGGAGAAACTGCTCTTTCTGTTGGTTATAAAGATACAAAGAATTTAGTTGAAAGACAAAATTAGATTACTCAACATCAAAGTTTGCTGTCTTACTTCTTTATATGATGTTTCAAAACACTAACTAGCCTAAAACATTTAGTTAAGACTGCAAATAAATATTCAATCTACATGAATTTTTCTATTCTCTGCTACTCGCTAAACATGCCATCTACATGTAAAGCATTGACAAAATTTCAACAGAAGTACAAGAATCACAAGTTTTATTCGTGAAAGTGTAGGGTATTTCAAAACCATATTACTTTAAACATATAAATTAGTTTGTCACAAATTAGTACTGCTTTCATTCATTTCTCCTTCTCTCTTTCAACACTATGAGATTGGTTGTTTGAATAAGATGCATGTTGATACTTCCAGTACAAGTAGCTTCATTTTAGGATATGCTGATTGAAAATTAAGAAAGGTATACTAAAAACCTTCTGTAACAGTTCTGACACCCTTGCACCTTTTCCAAACTTTCCTGAATAAAACTTAAGATTCTCAACGTGCCTCTAATGAAATATAATTTCCCTAAGACTTGTTTCTAAAGTATAATCACTTTAAATATGACATTTTCTTTATTATCACCCTAGAAGTTATGTCAAATGGCCTTCTATAGTTACAATGAAATGTTTTCCACTTACCATTATTAGACTTAAGGTCTCGATGAATCAATGATATGGGAGCTTCATGATGTAGGTAGTTCATACCTTTGGCTATCTGCAATGCCCAGTTGACAATTACTCGGGGTGGAAGTTTTTGAGCAACAAGAACACGATTTAGTGATCCACCACAAGCATATTCCATAACAAGACAAGGGTTTGAATTTGTCAGACAGACACCTTTTAAAGTAACAATGTTAGAATGGTTTAAAAGCCAATATATTTTTGCTTCTTTCCGTACATTTTCTTTTGTAACACTAAAATCTTCATCAGGATTCAAATGAGCAACTTTTACAGCAACTTCCTGTTTCCTCCAAATCCCACGATAAACTTTCCCGAATCCACCAGATCCTATCTCTTCTTCTAAAGACAAACTGGAAAAGTCTATTTCAAAAGGTCTTTCATGGTTTCCTTGTGGTTGAACATTCTGAATATTGCTTGGCTTTGTAACAAACTCACAAGGAAAAATTCCAACCCTTTTCTCTATTTTGCCTGTCCACCAACCTTCATCACCTGATATTTTAGAATCTTTTGACAACACCACAACAGTCTCACCCTGGTGGAGAGATAATTCATCATCTGCTATAGCTTTATAATCATATATAGCAGTCCAAATCTCTCCATCACCTCCTCGTTCACTGTTATTTCTATTTTGCAAGTAACATGTCATGATTCCTTTAAAAGAGGCCTTGATTTCAAAAGTCTAAAATAAAATAAAACACAGGGTTGACTGAAGACCTACATCTGGTTATTTTAAGCAGTTATGCAAGAGTAAAATACTCCAAGAAATGGAATTCACCTAGAAAAAAAATTATTTGAACTGAGCTATCTTTGATAGTTGCACAAAAGTTAACATATACCAAAATATATACATTAGAATTCAGGAGACATAATATACACACACACATTATGAATATCTTGAATCCCACCAAAACCAATTTGAAATTACTGTCTGAATATACCTCAAAAAAAGTTCCATTTCTCTCTATATACTAAATCAACCTTTTACTGTACTTGCATTAACTTTTTTTTTTATACTAAACAGTATGCAATACTTTGTCCCATCTGATTAATACAATTCTAAAATTGTTACATAGTTTAAGCAGTAATTAAGATAGGGTAAACAATGTGCACATTCCAACATATTATCAAAACTATAAAAATTACAGAACATACTGCAAGCAGATGAAAAAACATTTACAGAATGGCAAATGGATATGAAAACATGTCAACAGAATTTATATTTTTACAAACAAAATAATCATTATTTACAATATTAACACAGAGCATCTATTCTTGTTTAATATTAAAATTTGCATATATCAGAGAATGATAGAAAAATTTAGGCCATGCAACTGTGATATTTGAGAGTATAACTATGAAATGGTGCACAAAAATTCATACTACACTCAGCCCAGTGCATCACACTTTCATATTTTTGGACTGTGAACCATGGTTAATGATTTTCAGTTTCATTGGTTGAACGGAGTAAAGTCACCATAACTCTTGAATGCTGTATGTATTGCAATCTGATTGCACAATAAAAAAACGTCCCATGTTTTTCACCATAGTATATCTATTAAAAACAGTCATTTTAAACAAAGAACCCAACATAAACAAACGAAAAATCAAGGAATCCATCTTAATTGAACAAAACAACCCTTCTCTAAAC